AATCTTTGTGATTTATTTTTTGCGTATTGAATGCTGCACAAATTTCAAGGGAGTTGTTCCTCTAGTGATACTTCACCTGTCGCACGTTTTTGCGGGGATTATCCGTCAACGCGGTCCCTGCGATTTATATTCCTCTCGCAGCTTATCGGCATTTGTAAAGGGAGTATCTACTTGTGTCTGTGCCCGTCCGGCCCGCTCTAACTTCAACCGCTCTAACTTCAACCGCTCTAACTTCAACAAGGTATTTGTGAGCAAGTAATGGTTGTTGGATGGGACTGACAGCGGCAGTGCTTGCCTATCCCACCGTCGCTCGAGATTTGTTTGAGTTTACATTTTCGCTGTGAAAGGAACGCTTAGTAAAACGTGCGACGCTTCGGGAAAGCTAATGAAAGCTGATGTGCCTTACAAAAGCACCCGCACCTCAATGTAAAAGCTATCTATGCATCGATGGTTTCTTGCTGTGAAACCCGCACTCCGGACTGTTTCTTTGGGTCGATACTTTGGTCAGTGCCGGAAACTCCCAGGCTGAAAGCCTCACACGGCCGTCTCGGTTGGATCTCCCGCTGGGAGCTGCGGGAGATCCCGCAGCTCCCACCGGACGGCGATAAAAGAGACGGCGGGTCATCACTCACCATGGACGGCCGTCCGTCATGAGCTGTATGCAGACCGTGTGCCCGACGTCTGACAGATTTTGTAGCCGAATCCTGACAAGACTATCTAATCAATATTTAAAAGTTGAAGTTCCAACGTTTGAAAGGCTGTGTGTGCGACATTTGAAAGGCTATGTAGCGGACTATCTACTAGACCGTGTGTGAAGACGACGTTTATTTGGGTTGTGAAGCTGCTGATGAATGTAGCCGGCATTTGGCAGGGCGCATACCTGTAAGCCTGTAAGCCTGTAGACTTGATATGCCGTTAAACGGCCGTATACAATAGCGGTCGTCAGACTGGTGTGACCCGTAGTCGCACCTGTCCAGTCCGCTCGTACCGGCCGGTGACATCGTGACCAGGAATGTTTTCACAAACAATAGGCCAGACCGCTCACCACGCTGGAAAAGACACGATATTTCAGAACTGACGGCGCTGGCCAGTGACTAATTACATGCTACTTCTGGGTAGTTTACCTAGCGGTAGGAATGCTTATGACGAATAAGATCATCGCTTGTTGTTATTGATTTCCTCCACGAAACTATTTTACGCCAGTTTTCTCCGGCTACCTTTCATCTACTTTTACCCACACTTACCCTTGGGCGCGCAGCGTTGACTTGTTTTGTTTTTAACGACAGGCGTGTTGGGCCGTATCCGTGCCCCGTCAACAGACAGTTGCGTTATTCGACACTCGGAGAGCAGGCGTGACGGGCCGGTGCCGTAAGTGCTTTCACACCTTCACAAATAGAACCGTAAATTTGTGCCGTGTAGGAGTGAAGACCGCACCCATCGGACGGGGCTGTTGGAGCGCCGTGCTCGTGACGTGCCATTGAGAAACCATCGACTGTGTGTTCCGGCCGGTTAGGTCACATCTGGTGCGCGCATGGACTCAGTCCCAGCCCTCGAGTCGGCCCCCAGTGCGTGAGCAGGGTCGAGGTGCGACATGTGGGCAGAGGGGCGGGGGTGAGTGCGACATGTGGGGAGAGGGGTGGGGCCGGAAATGAGGACGGGCCGCGTGTTCAAAGGCCCGCTGCGGCCGGGGTGTTCCAATGGTCATACGGCCACCAACTGGGCGTGGGGAGCCGACTGACCCAGTTAGTAGGAGGCGCGGGCTAACCCCAAACCAGTCAAAACGCTGCGGGAGGCCCGACCACCGGAGCCGCTCCCGTGAGAGGTTCATCCCACCACTATTCATCGCTGGAAGGGAGGGGGCGGCGGCCGGTGGTCGGCGCTGGTGGCCCTGTTTACCTCGCCGCGCCGCCCGCCGCCCGCGCCAGGAGCGCCACGCATCTGAAAACGCCGCCCGGCACGCGAGACTCGTCCCGTCGAGTGCGAACTGAGGGGCGAAAGTGGCGTCCCGCCCGCGAGACTTCGGCTGTCAGCCGTCTGTTGGTGTCACGTGACAGGACACGCCTCTGGCTGCCGGTGTCACGTGGTCGTGAGACGCGGACTGAGACGCACTAACAATGGGACAATGACGCGACTTTCATCCTTGGACACGATCGTCAGTCTGCCGGCCTTTCAGGAAAAGTGACACTGAAAGAGTAACATGCTGTTTTACGCTCATTTGTGATGTAATTAACTGTCGCATATTGTCATATGGTGTGCTGGAAGCTCATTGACTCTCTGGATGTTTTTAAATTAAATTATTATCCAAATATCCAGCATATACCTACCTATGCTAGCTTGTCTTTTCAGTCGCTTGTGCTCTTGTTGAGCGTGAATAGCGCAGTCTTTCAATGTATTTCTGCATCAGTGAGACACAATAGTACCCGAGTCATTGTTCCGTGTAATCTCCTTTCCCGTTTCACTTTTCACAATAGTCAGGATCGATGTTTCTGTTGTTCTGCCGTTATTGGGGCCTTCTCTCCCGGATTCTGTCCATCAGCTCAGCTGCCTTCAGCGCCTCTGATTGTGGTTCTAAGGGAGCTCGGCTCGGCTAAGCTCCCTCCAAACTGCGGTCCAAGTCGCAGCTGTGTCTCCTCTGTTGGACATGTCACTGATACTGACACATTGATGACTGACACCGCGGTAAACGACCAATCTGACCACCTAGGTCCCTCGTGACGACCGCGATGGAGTCCTCCGAGCTAGCACGTGTTCTATCATCAACCGCGGCGGTGGATTATCGTTTTTAGCCGCCACATAATGGCCTTTGGTGCGAGGCGACGCCACCGAATGCCGTTACCTGGAAACGGTACCCATGCGTCACCGTGGGTCACGTGATGGGACAGATGGCCAATCGACGGTATGGGTGGCGCGATTCCACCGTGCCTCTTCAGATTATTATGAAACTGTCACGTTAAATCGGATTTCTAGCAAACAACATGGTATCCAATGTTTTGAGGGGATTTAGCCAATCAGGGCAATCTATGCCCTGTGATGATTTATAGTTTTACTTATCGTAGCTCGTAGGTATTGTTTAAATAGAACTGTAAGGTAAGTGAAATGTGCTGTAATTTAGTGAAAAGGTGCCAACTATCTATAACAAGATCGCAACAACACAGCGATTCGTCATAGTTTCTGACACATTTTACATTCGGCAATATTCTGACAACACCGAAACCAACATTGGCACTGATGCATGCTACCATCGATACCGAAACGCTCGACTCTCTGATTGAACCTCTTTATTCCCCCCCCCCTCCGCGGCGCGCCCACCCGGGGAGCTCACACGACCGTGCTGACCGCGATGGCCCTAAAGATAGGACACCACGACCCCATCCGTCGCACCGGTCTTCCAACCGTCCCCGAATGGTCGGCTCAGCGTGGTGCTGGGAGCTTTCCTGACGCCATACCGACTCCCATTGTCTCACCTTCCCACTCACCTGAGGTCATCTCGCAGCGAGAGGCAGATCTCTCCGCCTTCTTTCACGCCAAGTCGCACCTCGCTATGGCTCGGGTCTATTGTACTTGTGGTCATCTTCTATCGTCCAGTGACTGCGGACCCTTTACCCCACTGTTTCTGCCTCTTTGTCTGCCATATTTCACGGTTATTAGGCCCGCTCAGTGACCGGCCATCATGGTCCGGTGCTCATTTACGCTCACTTTTGCACGCGCAGCGAGTCGATGGTGTAATGATGGGACGGGTTGCGGTGCGCGCCGGGTCTGACCGTCTAATGTGACCTGTAAGAACGGAACTCGTCAATGCGGTCCAGCTCGGTCACCGTGGGGGAACGGAGGGGTCCTCCCGGGTCAGCCTAGTTCGGCTTAACTGCGTAATGGTTAGAGAAAGAATTAGACGGCATAATTGTGGTATGAATAGTTGAAGGTCATTGTTGCTTGGCGTTGCACGGAATCTGGATTGTTTTGTCATCGCTTTGCGTCAGGACTGCATATTGCACCTGGTAGCTGCTTTACCCAGAAAAGTTAAGCTTTCAGTTGAAGTGAAGCTGCTGGTTGTACTTGCCGGTCCGCAAAAAAGCTCACAAGCTTATCCGATAAATGAGGTTGTAGTACAGGTGTATTAAACAACTTCTTACGAAACTTAGTATCATGCAATACTTATAATGGCATGCTGAATGTTATGTTGCGGACACTCATGTTTTAAAGCTCATGATGACCTCTGTGGCTATTGAGCGCAATAAGTCAGTATTCAGGGACGAGCCAGTTGAGTGCGATGCTCCCACCCGTTATGTGGCTCTGTCCAGTGGGCACATGGGAATGTCTTCAGGGATCAATGCTCCATGCTTATCAGTCATGAACCTGCGGCATTACTTGATGTAGTGAACAAACTTGCCGGAGCCGGCCACCCGATCTGACCGGCTCAACTCAGCTGCCGTGTCATACACCACTGTTCACTGAAGTGGGTGAAATCAGATGGAGTTTGTTTCTGAATGGCTTCTGCAGCTCTCCGATGGCTGCTGCTACTTTCATCTGTTGTTTGAAGTCCTCCAACATAGGCGTCAGGCTGTTGGTGCTCAAGGAGAGAGCGTGAGAGAATGAGAGGCTTGTGATGGATACAATGTTAAAAAGACATGACGATTGACGATGCAGCCAGAGTGAGACGCTGTCAATGGACCGTGGCTGTTCATGTGTTGGAGGAAACTTGTGGAGAAAGGACCATCGAAGCATGGAACCAGTAACCAGCTTAGTTATCGTCTGTTAAAACAGTCATACTTTCTGGTTGAATAGGGCTGACGCCGGAAATATGATTTCACAGTTCACGGTCGAAAGGCACCACATCAATAGTTATTCCTATGAACACTTCAGAAGGCGGCTCAATCCGTCAAACGTAACTTAATTGAATGCGGCGAAGGCCATTGAGTAGGTGAAAATGCCTGGTTTTGCGTTTATAACCTGCTTTGCCGTTATTGTTTAACTTAACTGACGAATTTTCCTCTCCTCCCCAGGCACGACCACCTTGATGGCCGCTGTACGCTGAGCCGGCCGCTCCACCGCCCTCTCCGCCACCCTCTCCCACCAGGCCACCATGCAGCCGGCCGAGCTGTACGGCTGGGTGGCCGCCGCCGCCGCCGCACCCCTGCAGGCCACGCTCGCAGTCGGCCTGCTCTGCCTGCTGCACGCGGGCCGCGCGCGCTGGCGCACCGTCGACCTCTTCCTGGTGGCGGTGGTGGCGCAGCAGCTGGTGGCCGCCCTCCTGGCGCTCGGCTTCTCGCTGCTGCGCCTGATGCGGCCGGAGGCGGCGGCGGCGTGCGCGGCGTTCGCCTGGGGCTGGACGGCGCTGCGGACCCTGCAGGCCTCCACCGTGGCGTCGATGGCAGCCGACCGGGTGCTGACCGCCCAGTGGCCGTACAAGTACCGGTACTCGGTGCGCCGGAACCAGATCCGGTACCATATCGGCGTGCTGGCCACGGTGGCCGTGCTGGTGGGTACGGCGGCGCTGTTCTCGGCTGGAGGCGGAGCGCACGGCGCGGACGGCGCGTCTGCTCCGGCGCCGGGCGAGTGCACCTTCCTGCCGTACCGGGTCAGCGGCCAGTTCGGCGTGTTCCTGCTGTCGCTGCACGTGCTGCTGGCCGTGGTGACGGTGGCCGCCGTGGTGGCCGTCCAGGTGCTGCTCTGTCTGCGGCCCCGGCTGCGGCACGCCCACTCAGACCTGAACCCTCTGAACCACACCGCCTCCGACACGTCGGCCTCGTCTGCCGGCGCGGCGCCGCGGTACGGCGCGATGACGCCCGGTACGGCGGCCGGGGCGGGCGTGGCCACCCTGCCGCACCCCGTCAACCGGCGGCGGCGGCGGGCCGTCCGGCGACTCGGGGACTTCCGCTGGCCCACCGTGGCGCTGGTGACCGTCCTCTGTCACGTGATCAACCATCTGCCCTACCTGGTGAGTACAACTCGGGTCACGTGGGTTGGGCTCACTCCCCAGATACACCAGGTAGCGGGGAGAACAGAGATTGAAGGAAGATGCCTTATAGAATGAATGGTGATAATAACACACTGAGAAAACAGTGTCCCGATTTTCGGGCTCAGAGACCAGTTTTCGGGCTAATGTACCATATTCAAAACAGACAGCACATTTCGAGAATACTTTCTGAGCTAGCGCCACATGGGCTCATACGATCCCTTAAATCGGTATCATTGATCGCAGAAACAGAGCTCAGTCAGTACCCATTATCGGTGTCAAGCTCTAAAACTAGTCTCACTATGATACCAGTTTTCAGCCTGATCCCCATTTTCGAGCTCACCTGATTCCAGTTTGAGGGCTCAAATTGTGTGGTGAAGCCAATATTAGGGCTCACGTCATCGCTTTTCGGGGCTTTGGTAAAAGCTGGATTGCGTCAGCTGGCTGGCCAGCTGGCGACGCACGAAAGGTATTTAATTTTAGATATACCTAAGCGCGGTAGTAGGATGGACATAAATATTTCAAATGGCTTTAAATGAAAAAATTGATTGGTAAATATTCATTCTTTTATATCTAGCATTGATATGTAAGAAGCTCTGCTAGCGCCACCATACGGCGCCAGCTGGCAAAAAATCCAGTTAATACCAGAGCCCGCTTTTCGTCCGATGCAGCCCCTCCTCCCCCCTCCCCCGTGTCCAGCAGCTGCGAATAAGACGAAGCCGCGGACAAACTTTTTTTTTTGCTCGGCCAGCCTAGCGCCAGTCTCGAGCGGTGGGACAGTTAACCGGCAATTTTGGCCGGGATGCAAAAGTTACGTTAAACCGGTTTATGTTAACCCGGGAGCAAATAACAACGTGGGAGCCTATCTTAGGTGTGGCAAAGCTAACGGATTACTTACTTGTTGCCGAGGTGCCCAAAGAAGGTACTGGAACCGAAAACACAACATTGGTTCATGTATTTATTAACATTCATACACACAGTCATACTTGTGCAAGGTGTCAGTGTTCGGTTGTGGGGTGTAATAGCCAGGGAAAAAGTTCTATGAACTGAAAAACCCGGCGCCTATTACTTCGCAACATGGTTGTGTATTCAACATGAACTGCAAGGAGTGCAGACGACATTGCCTGTGCTAACTTAACGTCTCACGGGCAGCGCCGCGCTCTGACACCTTGGTCCCAGAAGCGGCGGCGTTTCTGACCGCAAATCGCCGGAGAGCCGGTCGACGCCGTTGAGGGGACTGAGCAGGCCGGTGCCAGCTCCACCTTCACGTCCGCGCGGCGCAGCTCGGTGTGCGGCGGCGGCTCATCGCGCGGGCCGCACCCGTCCGTCCGCTGCACGAGCCGCTTTTCGATCCGACAGCGCAACACCGGCACGCCATTGTGCTGGCTGAGCGGCGGCAGCGGCACGTACAGGGTGTAACGAAATTATCCGGACATCTTTCTTCGCGCTGTAATTAAGAAGCAAGACATTCTGATATTTTCCCTTTTGAATTATTATATAGCCACCTTTCATAAGAGCGCAGGTACACATTTTTGGAGCATTCCAGCCACTGGATTTTCCAGCACAGTGGGTTTCATATAGAGTAGCGCCTTACTAACCTGTGCCCGCAGTTGGGCGGCGCTGGTGGCGGGTGTCCCCTCATTCATCTCCTGATGGACAATAGTCCATGATATATCGACGGAATTGCATGGGAACTATTTCCAAGCCATAGCCCTTTAGCCCAGAAGAACAAAAAGGTCCTCTCGGCATCACTTCTCATTCTGCTAGGGACTTGAAGGTGGTGCGCCGCCCCGTATGAAGACTGCGCGGCTTGAATCAGGTATCGGTACACGTTCAGAAACCGAGCCATCCTGTGCCGTCTGGTTGAGTGGCTCCAACCAATCGCTAGCCAGGATGTTGCGCCGGTAATACTCGTCACTGATAGTGGTTTTCTGTGTCGTCATGAACAGCTTGAATATTACACAGCAGCTGAACATGCTCCAGGTCTGGATTTTGGCCGGATGTTTGACGCCGGCGACGGCCGGCACATTCGAGCTGCTGGCAGCCCACACATGGCCGATTTGACGGTTCAACGGGTATCGCAGCTCGAACAGCTTCCCATCCGACCAGGTCACCTCATTCGTGTCTTCCTTCGACCAGTGGACACGCCCTGGCCTGAAGCCAAAGGTGGTGGACTGGTTGTTTTCCCGTCAATTTCATTGTCTTTTCCAGTTTGAAGGGCAGTAAAACCAAGCTAAAGGGCGGGTAACGGTGAATCATGACGTGGGACCTCTTATTATCTACCTTGGTAAGAATTCGAGTCAGTATGCGGATTAATTGGTGCCGTTTCCTTGTCGCTATCTTGACAACTCTCCTCATCACTTGGCCAAGGGGCGCCTTTTGCGATCGAGGCCGGGCTGAGTCTGCCACCAAGTCCCAGCTTATTACGCCTCAGGCAGATGTGCTACTGGCTGCTGCTGATGTCCAGCTGCTGACAGACCAGCTTCTGGCTCATGCCACCATGCCACCAACACGTAGCCTTACTACGAAACGAGAGACTGTACTCCTTTCTCTCCACTGCCTTAAACGAAAACTATCAAATGAACCCGTCGGCGACTCGACTCTTACTCAGAGCAAGAGTCATTTCGCAAGGTCAGGTCACTGCTGAGTTGAGAGCAGATACCAGAGGTATGCATTCATCCAATTTTCCAGCTTCTGACATTAAAAGAGAAACTGTGCGAGCAGATATGGCGAAAAAATAGATGTCCGGATAATTTCGTTACACCCTGTAGGCAACAAAACAGTAGAAATCGATGGGCCTGGATCGGCGTTGCCAGCAACGCCGGCAGCGGCGCGGCGGGAGGCGCCAGTGCCGCCGTCGGGGACGTGTGCCCTTCGCTGCGCTCATTCGAGGTGGCCGGCCGGCCGCGCGGCGTAGTCCTTTTGACACGGTGCGAGAAGAGCCGGATGAAGGTGGACTTTTCATTGGCGTTGCTGGTGCTCACGCCGCCGGCGTCCAGTTTGGGCGGCAAGTCCGAGTACCAGGAGTCGGACAAGTCCCGCGCGAACGCCGCCAGCCGGTCGTCGTCACTGCTGGCGGCGGCCCGCCGACGGCGCTGCCTCAGAATCGGACGAGTCGGTGGTACTGAGCACCTCGCGGGACGGGTAGCTGGGAGTGGGCCGGCCGCGGCCCCTGCCAGGCCGCGCCACCTTCACCGGCGCAGCCGCCTTCAAACTGCCCTTGCTGGGCGGCGGGTTGGTCGGCGGAGGCGGCAGCGGTGCCTCGACGTCAGTCCGAGTCGCTGTCACTGGGCGGCCGCCGCGGAGACGGCTTCTGTTTGACCCGCAGCCGGCCTGGGCCGGCTCGGCGCCCTCGGCCGGCGGCGCGCGCCGTTTCGAGCGTTTCACCTTTTCACTGTTACTCTCGCCTGGTCCTCAGCGTCGAGCGGCTCGGCGCTGTTCGGTTTCATGTGGCCCATGCTGCTGGGAAACTCGGGTGGGGACAGCTTTCTGACTGGAGTGCCGTCGAAGATGGAGGAGACGGGGGTGCTCGCAGAGTCCTTGCCCAATGCCCATGATAGAGCCGAGGCTCCACTGGACGCCCAGCTTAATCGGGCTATCGCCGCCCTCCTTCTATGGTGGATTCTTCGGCCCCCTACAGCCACTAGGGCCATCATATACTCCCAGATGGCGGCACCTAGGGGATGAGGGGGGAGGGGGTGTCTGGGCCACTTGTCCACCTCGTGGCGTCGCCAGCGACGCCTGCGAGTCGGAGCAAATGATTATGGGGTCTTCCTCGAAGGACGGGTGCTTCAGGAGATGTTGCTTTGCCGTTTTGGGCGCCACCATCTCAGATCGGTAAATGGAGCAAATCCTCCCCGCCGCCTCCCGCAGTACCAATGTTGTACTGTCTGGGTGCTCGGTGAGGACCCCAGCGCCGCCTTCCTATTACTCCCCCGGTCGCAGACCCGTCGACCCAGGCCAACGTCGCACGCTGGGGGAGCGCTCCCAGTCACGCCTCCGCAGCACTCCTCCTCGCTGTCGCGGACGCCCCGATCGGCAGCAGGTCCAGGTGGACCGTGACGCCGTCTGTTGGCGTCTACGGGGGCAGTCTCGTGGATAAGCGCGCCTCGGCGGGCAGCGCCACTCCAGTGGTCCCACACCGCTCCCCCGCCCCCGCGCTCTCTCCAGCCGGTCACTGACTTCAGTCACGGTTGGGGGGGGGGGGCTTCCGCCACGACGCGGCGGGTCCTCCGACGGGAGGGAGAGCGCCTTCGCCAGTAGGCGCGATGCCAGCGCATCCCTCCTCATCTCTCCATCGGCACGACGCCCGCCTCGGCCCTCACGGCGAGTCTTGGAGCATGGAAATCGGGCAGCCAGTGATGACTCATGCCACCATCAGCATCTCCGCCTCCAGGACGCCAAGATGTGTGGCCGCAGCCGCAGGCAGCCACGCCGACCCCGCTGCCCGCATGCCCAAGTAGTCTCGAATCGCTGACACCTCTCCTGAAACAAGAGTGGTGTCGTAAACTTAAACCCCTTGCTGGCGCCCGCCAGCCGCGACAACACCGCCACACCAATTTTTGTGACCCCGGAACTTCCGTCCCGAGCCTTATTTCACGGCACGATGCTACAGTGCGCTACACGTATTGTGGTATTCAGCTTCCATGGAAACAACAACTAATTTGGACGCTCAAACATGGGAGTCAGGAGTGGTTAAGGCCCAGAGCGTTCTGTCTGGTTTATAAAACCTTGGCCAGCAGATGTAAAGTGCTTTTTGTATAAGTGGCTTAATTTTGACGCAAAAGGGCACTAACCTTCGGCGCAAATAATGCAGAAATTTCAGCGCAAATTGCAAAATAGCTTGCGCCGAACTTCGGCGCATGACGGCTTCACGGGCGTCCGGCGTACCATATGGATGTTTTCCAGTTTGGGCTGCAGGTTTTAGCTCTAGGTTTTAGACTGTAGGTTTTGGGTTGGGTTGGGCTGGGCTGGGCTGGGCT